CTGACGCGCGAATATGAAGAGGGAGAGTATTCCATAGCCTGGGTGCAGCAACGGCAAAGGCACGGTCTCCTCTGGTCTTCAGCCGAGACCTAGGTTGCACCAAGAGCAGTTGGCCTGATGATCTTAGTGCTCTCTGAGGGCTGTACAGACAGAGGAGATCAGCTAAGTAGTCAGGTGCCATATTGTTCAAAATTTTATAAGTAAACAATAAAATTTTAAAATCAATTCGATATCTGATAGGAAGCCAGTGTAAATTTTTCAAAACAGGGGTGATAGAGTCAAACTTTCTAGTGCCGGTCAAGAGACGTGCTGCGGCATTCTGGACCAGCTGCAGACGCTGCAGAAGGGAAGATTGTAGACCCAAGTAGAGAGAATTACAATAGTCCAGTCTTGACATAATGAAAGCATGAATGAGTTTCTCCATATCTTTGTGTGGTATGTAGGGTTTAGCCTTAGAGATTAGGCGTAGTTGATGGAAGCTAGTTTTTACCACAGTAGAGACCTGTTTGTCAAGTGTGCACATTAAAGTGATGAGCTTCTGTTTAGTATTCCACGCTCTCTGCTAGTTTGTGGAGTGAAAATAATTAGGAGTGTTAGAGATAGTGACATGCCTGAGATGCATAGGAACACAGAGTTCATTCATTTCCATGAAAAATTGTGGAACAATTAAAACCTTTCACAGTTTTTTACATCGCTGACACCCTCCAGACATCCATTACCACCACTCGCCTCACTACATGCTTAATACTGCAGTTGTGGCTATTTCTTTTGGAAGATTGCAATAAAGGTCAACCATGGCTGGGATGAACAAAAAAAAATGTGGTAGTGGAAAAAGCATAACTGTTAATTTAATTGTGTTTGTTAATGCTGGTGATTGTGTTTCCCAGCTTCACTCTACATCCCATCATATTTTCATAAGTGATTTCATCATTAAACTTTGTATTTTCCTATTTGCCATTCTGGGATTTCCATTACTTATATTCCACTTATATCTATACTCTTTGGGGTTTTTTTTAATTATTTATCATGAACATTCACGTATTTAATTATTAAAAGGCCAGTATTTTTTAATAGATCAACTACTGTTATGATTCAAGCAGAGTAAAGTATCCCATATGGAAAAGATATATATAAATCTTATAAAGTTTGTATCTGTCTTGTGTGAAACTTGTATGAAAAGCATACAAGAGTGAAAACAGATATAAGATCCCTTGAAAAATTATATAAATGAAACTTGCATGTTTTGGATACTTACTAAAACAATATATGAAAGTAATGAGAAAGTGGCCACTTTCATGAGTAAATCATATAAGTTTTTACTATTTCTTTTCCATATGAGATAAGCAGGGTTTGTGACAGCCGGGAAGTATAACACCTTCATCAATATTTAAGTATGGGAAGATTTAAGTTTTCATGATACCGACTGAATGCACCCCGAGTGGGTGGCTGACCATATGGTGTCAGTGTTCTGAATAACAGATGACCTCAGATCAGATTTATCTTCGGGAGGGAGATGGGGCGAGAAAGGAAAGAGAGACGGGGTTCTTTGGCAACAGTGTTCACCTAACATTCATGCCAATAAAACAAAGTGGGCTTGAGAGTAGAGAGAGGGAGGCAGAAAGCAGAGAAGGAGCACTGAATGACAGATGGGTAAGAAGAGAGAGTGCACACAGAAAGAAGACAGAAGAAGGAGAGTTAAAGAGTTTTTGCTGCTCTGTAGCCTGTATAAAGACATAAATACCAAGTTCCTGACGCAATCTAAGACCCAAGCAAAATTCAGTTTGTACTTCAGTAGAAAACCTGACATTTCTATAAGTCTTATTTAAGTGGCAGGATATTCAGAAGCTTTGAATTCCACCTTTTTTTCTCATGTTTATGTTTATTTTTACCATCTTACCCATTTCAAGTCGTATTATATTTTAAGTGTAATGTAACATAGGATGTAATGTGTGCTAATGTATTTTCTTACACGTTTTTATGCTTAACTTCATTTAATTGTGGTCATTCTATTTGGTTCAAGTAAATTTGGATCTGGGAGGGGCAGGGAGAGAGAGAAAAGAGAGAGAGAAAAGAGAGAGAGGGCGAGAAAAGTTAGTGAAGTGAAAAATGGAGGGAGGAGTTGAGTGAGAGAGAGAGAAAGTGTGTGAGAAGGAAAGAGTGAGGACAGACAAAGGAAGTTGGGGGCTTGGGGTGTGTACAAAAAGAACACCTGTTGAGATTGGGGTTGGCACGCGACCCACTCCGACTCGCGTGGCAGCTGCACCTTAGTGTAACAATGGCAGTAAAAGAGAGAGACGGAGAAAGCGAGAGGAAAGTTTGAATGCACTACTTATCCTTTTAGGTCGTGCGAACCTCTGTGTGTGTGTGTGTGTGTGTGTGTGTGTGTGTGTGTGTGTGTGTGTGTGTGTGTGCGTGTGCGTGTGTGTGTGTGTGTGTGGCATGCTAATGTTTACAGAGAAGGTAAGGGGGGGGGGCAGAGTGAAAGAAAGACAGATAAGTGTGCCAAGAAATTGCCGTGTATTCAAGTTAACTGTGAAACCAAAACTAGGTGGAAGGTTGCATTTATGTTTTAGAATAGAATAGAATAGAATAGAATAGAATAGAATAGAATATACAACACCTGCTCAAGGTACTGAATGAGGTGTTAGGTTTAAAAGCTTACCAGCTGTCCCTCCAGGTGCACAGAGCTCCCAAGAGTTTGTTGGAAGAGAGGAAAATGTATGAAGAAGATATACTACCCTTGAAATTGTTGTCTGTAATTATTATTACTACTGAATTTGTACCAGCCTCAACAGACTCAAGCTGAAATGTGTGTGTTTTTAGCTTTAAACTTGTACAGTAAATGGTCATTCCTGGGCTAAAGCACAGCGACTTCTATAGCAAAGAGTGAAACTGCATCGTGTTGTCCCACATTTCCATAATAAAAGACGCATTATGGCAAAGTGTGAGTTTACGAGTTAACATTCTTATATCCATTGCAGTTCTGCTCCATGAACACACAAATTGGAGCCCAATTACCCACTGCTTTACTTGGATGCACTGCAGATACGAGGCCATATTGAATATAATTGTATCCAGTGAAATGCATCCAGTAACTCTGGCGACTGTACTTTCATACTAATTTCCCTGTGGCGGTCTAAGTCACCTCTGACTCCACTTTCATTAAGACACTGAACATCTGATCAACTCTCCTGGTCTCTCTCTGTTACACAGACACTTGGCACTATTTTTTTTTTAAATTATTATTTAGATTGATTTTTTTAATGTGAAGAAACAGGCATGCTCCCCTGGAAGCCAGAATCATTAAAGTGGTGACTGTTTTCAATCTTTTTTTTAACACCACCATATTGCTTCCATTTCCAGTTAATTCCACAGCCTGTTCTACCTCAGTGCAGTCTGTTATACCTTATTCCAACATACCCGCAGATACACGTTCACTCTGCACAACCGTATCGCTTGGATGCCTCCCTGTCGCACAGAGACATTATGTAATTCACCCCTGGTAACTGTATTCAATGCTGGGGTTGATCTCTTTTTACTCTCCCTAAATTTTCTGTAGCACAGACCGAGACAGGGTCCTCTCCGGCTATGCGACGCCATCTAGCGTCACTCCTAACTCCGCATTGTAGTTTAAAGCCTTCCTACGTCCTACTCTCATTCGTCTCTTTTCATTTATGTGACTCATTACATTTAAAGTAGATTAAATCACAAATTGTCATACTGGGTGAACTGGATGCCCCGAGAAAACAGAGCCTACTACGTGCTGTGATTGCTGTAGGATGATAATATGTCTACAAGCAAAATATGTTTTTTTTTTCTTTTTACCCAGATACTTTTTGCGCACCTTTATTAGGTGCATGTGTTAAGATTCAGGAAAACAAGATAAAGTGATGCTGTCTGTTGGCTTTCTGTTTTTGTACACACGTTTCATCTGATTGTGGTCTTACCTTGCGCTGTGCCGTGCGTTTCTCTCTCACCGGTGCTTTTTGTGTTACGAAAAACTGCACTGAGTGTCAGTTTTGAGTTGTGTGTGCGTGTGCGCGCGAACGAGAGAGACAGAGAACAAGCGCTCTCGCAGGCGGTTAATGCGCACACACATCGCACACACAGCCTACTTCTTCTTTTTTTTCTCCTTTTTTTCTCCCTCCTCGCTTCTCTCTTTCTAGTGCGCTGGAGAGGGTTCGTTCGATATGTGTTATGTGACAAAAGACCGCCCAACCCCGCCTCGGAGAGAGAGAGGAGTGAAAGCAAAGCAAAGCATATATACAGCTTGGCTGTCTTGGAGTCTTTACTCACACCAGCCAAACTATCATGTCAGTCTGCTCGCACGGTGACCACCTGTAGGCAAACTATCACCAATTAAACTAATTATCGCATGTTTCAGTCAGTCGTTAGAATGATAATCAGTTTAAATGAGTGATCCCATTATAATATAGCCTGCAGTATACGCCAGATAACCTTAGAGTGTGTTATCTTTAGCATTGCAAGCACACGGCAATGGACCACTGTATCAGCTGGCTTTATTATAGGTGCGCACCATGCACAATATCCTCACTCTCTGTGTGAGGATAATGGAAGAAAAGGAGGCTGGTTAAAACAGAGTGCGTGGCTTTTGTGCCGTCTCGGGCGCGCTGGTACAAACTGCACTGTGTTTAAACGGCCATATGGTGAAGTATACTTAGCTTTCCTATAGCAAGGCTACATGTTAATGATATACACATGGGCTGGTGGTGAGGGGGGTGTTCATAACATAAGCCAATGTCTCTTTAAAAAAAATGAAGTTTCTTGTTGTATTCTGGAATGAGGTCAGACACGAGGCTCCTCATTGCACGCGCTGATTATTATTAGATTCCATTTTTGGCCAATCGGCGCCGAGGTGGGCGTGAGTCTGGCGCGCAGGCAGGCTAGCGACAGGATTTCATTGGTGGATTTTTATCGCCGTTGTATTACGGGAAGGAATAAATGCAAGTAAGGGGGCCGGGCCGTGAGGGCTGCTTGAATCGCGACTGTAGTTGATGGGAGGCGGACAGTGTAACTCGCTCTAGCTGATTTTTTCTCCCTTACACAGCATGCATGGCTTTTGTTTCTGATGCAGAGAAAAGCACTTACCCTACACACTGTACTTGGGAGCCCTTTGTAAGTGCCCGAGCGCACAGTGTGGCACCCGGTCTGCGCTCTGCAGCTGCATAGACTGTGCTCAGTGGCCCCCACGGCTAAACTGGTTTTTTATAACAGAAGGGGAGACTGAGAGACTGATTACAGGGTACACAGTGGAGACTGGGCTACCATCCGTGCTGTTTTAAACGCCAACAGAAGCTGGAAATTAAACTTTTTTTTTCTTTTTACGCATCTAGCCGACTGAGGCTACTCTGGACTGAAGTGTTGCCGAGTTTACTGCGCATCTCAGGAGTGAATTATTTCTTGCACTGGCTTTTACTCGGCTCAAACTGTGAAGAGGAGGAGAGAAAAGAGCTGAGTTTGCTTTAATAGTGAATCAGAGGAGCAAGGAGAGAGGGAGAGAAAGAGCAAGCACACCGCTCTCCCCCTCTGTCTGCACAGCTGGGCAGCATGGTGCAGAAAATGAGCCACACAGAGAGCACCACCGAGGCGCTGTCCTTCTTCGCCGGGGACTCGAGCTCCGACTCCGGGGCGTGCATGGACCTTGAAACGGCCGCTTCGCCTCTCTCCCCGGGCTCCACCGCTTCTTCGACCGCCGGCGACAAGTTGGGAGACAACCCGGCGTGGTGTAAAACTCCCAGCGGTCACATCAAGAGACCCATGAACGCGTTCATGGTGTGGTCCCAGATAGAGAGGAGAAAAATCATGGAGCAGTCCCCGGACATGCACAACGCCGAGATCTCAAAGAGGCTGGGGAAGCGGTGGAAACTGCTCAGAGACAGCGACAAGATCCCCTTCATCAGAGAGGCGGAGCGGCTCAGGCTGAAGCACATGGCGGACTATCCCGACTACAAGTACCGGCCAAGAAAGAAGGTAAAATCGAGCGCATCCAAGCCCGCAGGAGAGAAGGGGGAAAAGCTCAACTGTAGCTCCAACAACACCAGCACTAAGACGTCCTCCTCTTCGAGGAAGACCGGATCCAAATCACCCAGCAGCAGCAGCAAACCCCACAAATCACTTTTCGGGAGCAGCAGCAATAGCACCAAAGCATCAATGTTTGCCTCTGAGCACCCAGCAGAGCACCACCACAACTCTCTCTACAAGTCCAAGTCCGTCTCCTCCTCAGTAGCCAAGCAGATACCTGATGGCAAGAAGCCCCGACGAGTGTACGTGTTGGGGAGCAGCGGGACTAGCTTGAGCGTGAGCCCGGCGTCTTCCGTCGTGGTCCCGGCCAGCCCGACGCTCAGCAGCTCGGCGGACTCCAGCGACCCGCTCAGCCTGTACGAGGACGCGGCCAGCGGCAGAGAGGAGGGTGCGGACTCCCCCGGCAGCAGCGGCAGCTTGGGCGGCTCTTCGGAGCGCCACGGTGGGCACACGTACAGCAGTCGGCGGGCTTCCTCGCCTACCCCCTCCGGCTCTCACTCCTCCGCCTCGTCGCACTCCTCCTCGTCCTCCTCGGAGGACGAAGAGTTCGAGGACGACTTGCTCGACATCAACCCGAGCCCCAGCTTTGATAGCATGTCGCTGGGGAGCTTTGGCTCCTCGGTGCTGGACAGGGACTGGGATTTGAACTTTGAGTCCGGCTCCGGAGGGTCCCACTTCGAATTCCCCGACTACTGCACACCCGAAGTCAGCGAGATGATCTCCGGGGATTGGCTAGAGTCCACCATCTCCAACCTGGTGTTCACGTACTGAGAAAGGCAAGAGACGACAGGTAACATCCTGAAAGCAAATTAATAATAATAACGAGAAGAAGAATGAGACCACAAACAGAAACGGGGACATAAGTGGGCGCAATAGTTTGTGTTATAGGTTTAACTGCATCAGACTATTAAAGCCCCGCTGAAACTACCCCCCAGTCCTTTCTCGTCCCCCAAAATAGGCAAGAGGCTGCATATCCTTGGAGAGCTACACTTTAAAGCAAATAAATGCCTTTTCTAGGCTACTTTTCTTTGGATGCGTCGACTGTGGGACTTAATACCAACACGACAGTGAAGGGGGTGAAGAAGAAGAAGAGGAAGTAGTACTGGAGACTGAAAACGCTCAGTCGTGGACTGTTTTGAACTGAACAACTTTACTGTGATTGATTTGCACGTCGTTCACTTAATCAATGTTGTTGACGATTTAGCAAAAGAAAGAAAGGAAAAAAAGAGACATTTTGCAACTTTTTACCAATCGCCAGGTGAACTTCACCACTAAAAAGGTACAGAAATGGGACTGCCGTGCGACATTTTTTGTTGTTGTGGTGTGTCACTAAAGAGGGATTTAAAAAAAAAAAAGAAAAAAAAAGTGAAACCAAGGTGGGTTGGAGTTTTTTTTTAATTTTTTTTCTAAGTCGACTATTTTCTCAAAAAGCAAAAGGAAAAAAACACGTTAAGCATGATAGCCTACTTTGTTCCTATCTTGTGCTGAGATTTTCTGTGAGACTGTCGAGCAGTTTAAAAACTAGTATTAGGGTTATTTAAATGGATAGGTGGCGCTCGCTTCGGTTCTTCTCTTTAAAAGAAAGAAAGGAAAAAACGGACATTGAAATAATCACCAGCTGTTGTAATTTTTCAGACTTCAGGATTCAAACGCAACTTCAAATCTGTGCTGAACTTTATACACATGTTCTCTATGATTCAGGACCAAAATTCTTTTAATGTTTTCGAGATTTTAACTATAGAGAAATCCTCACCGGTTTCGCTCTCTTCTTTTCCCCTTTTCTCCTCCATCCTTTGAGCTTTGTTTTGTACATGTATTCAGATGCCATTTTATATGGGATGTTGTATTTATATACTGGGCCAAGCATTTTTGACTTGATCATTTTTTAATTTCTTGTATACATGATCTAGTCCTGTATTATTATTATTTTCTTACACGATTGTTTGTCAGTATGTCTGTGTCTGTCACATTTCCTTCTCAGGCGAAGGGCTAGAGTTAAAAAAAAACACACAACTTTTGATTTCTTTTTTTATATTTAAATGTACACACTTTTGGACACTTAAAAAGAGAGGAAACAGTTTGATTATTTTCTCAGTGTATTTTTGTACAAATCTATATAGAAACTGGGGGAGTCAACAATCGGTGTGTGTAGCCTACTAATACAGCTGTATTGGATTTTCTAATTTTTAATACCACCGGCAGGCTGCTTTTCATGCTGCCTTCAAGTGCTTACAGTAAGCTCGTGTGCTCTAAGGTTTTGTTGCCTGTCCAAACGTTTCCCCCACATTTTTTCTTTCTTTTTTCTTTTTTTTCTTTCGCAAAAACAGGCAACAAAACAGACCTTTTAACCGCGGTGCCAATTGTTTTTGATTTTAGAAATCAAAGGCACCAAACTACATTTACCTACTGACGAAATGAAGGAGCCCCCGTGGCTCAGGTGTGTAATTCATGTTTTACTTCAGTAAACAGGCAAACTTTGCGTGTCTTTTACCGGCATATGCTCTTAAGACTTCTCTGATATCCAGTCCCTAAATATTTCAATATCCTGTATTGACCGTAGCCTGCAGGCATGACATGCTTAACTTCTAAGGATTTAATTGCGATTTGCCCGACAGCACTTGAAAGCAGCATCAGCCTTTGTATCAGCCTACCTTCAACGTTTACAGTGCCAGACTGCAGGCTCCTTAAAGACACAGGAACGCATTGTTTCTGCAGGCTATTCCTGTGGGCCATGTGGGTTTAAGAGCATCACTATCTTGAGCAGCCACTTTGCTTTTGCATTTCCTGTCAAATATCTTGCCTGTGACGACAACAACAAGGAGATTGTAGCTTTAAATTTGACTTATTTCTTGATGTTTTCATTAACTGATGTCACATTTGCCAATCAACCACTGGATTGAAATAGCACTAGCGTTGCAGCAAGTAAACAACAAGGATGATAACATCAAGCGTATTCAAATTTCAGACTTGAGTTCTGCAAACACCTACTTGTACTGCGTTTCTCATTGTATTTGAATATATAATCTTTTCTACTTGTGGGCTAACTATTAGCTAATAATTGTTTTAGTATCTTTATGGCATGGTGAATAGCATTTGTATTTCAGATTCAGGTTATTAGCTGTTGTGTTTTTCAGAAAAAAATGGAAAAAAATGAGGAAAAGCGATGAAACGTGAACTCGGTCTTTGTATATTTGACTGTATCATAAAGCAAAAAGATTGTGTGTTTATGTACGTTGTTGCTATCGAGGACAGGCACTGTCTAGAGCTGCCATCTTTTACACATCATTACCTACATTCGAGGTGGTCAGTTCAGACTGTTTTTTTATATATAAATATGAAAGCATTTTTAAATATATTAACTTTATTTTTCATCCATCCTGTGCAATATGATGTGTAGAATTATCATTTATTGTCTCTAATCATGCCATAAACAAAAGTACCCACCCTCTTTTTGAGTCTCAGAGAAAAGGGGCGGGGACTCATGCCAGCTAAATTGTGTCCATTCACTGCCTGTCAGATTGTTGATACAAACTTGTGTACAGAACTTTTTCAAGGAAGGAAATAAATATCAGCTGGAACTGAAACTCAACAGCTTTTTTCTTTATTCATGAGTGTTGTTTTTTTGTTTGTTTTTTAATCTCTCTTTCAATGCCACAAATACCCAAGACATGATACATTTGTGTTATTATGTTCCAAGTTCATCTCCTAACAGTAGTTGTCCAAACTGTGTTTAATTATTACATTATATGTTGTTAAGTGTTTTCTATAAGAGGATGAAGATTTTTTTACTCACCACTTCAGCTGCTTTTAATTGGCTCTTCTATTCTTCTCTCCCCAAGTTAATCAAGCCATGGTTTACTTGGGGAGAAATGGACAACTGAAAGCAAACGTTTGCGATGCGGGCTGAAAATAACTTAAGTGCTCAAAATAACTTATAAAAACTGTCTTGAGTAATGAGCATTAACTGCTTTTGGGGAAATGCACTCCAGCGGTGTGGCAACACGCTCCCCCACCAAAAAAACTACTATTTACATAATTTTAAGAGGCAAGCAAAAATGGTTGTGAGGTCTGCAGTGTGAAAGAAAAGTGGTTTAGCGAAGAATTATTCAAATATTGTGTTGTAAACTTTCTCAGCCACTGTGACAATTGCACATTAAGTCAGTTTATATTATCCATGTCTGCACATCGCAGGGACTTTTATTTAAGTTTCCTCTTAATGCGGTGTAAATGCCTCATTCATATAGGAAACTTTCTGAAAACTGTCGCAGCTCAAAAAAAGCACACACACTTTAAATTCTAGTCACCACAAAATGGGATGGTTTGGTTTGGAAAGAGTTTTGTAGCAGGTGTCAGCATCCCTAGAGTCACTATCCACTTTATTCTGTAAATAAAGCTTAAAAGGCGATGCTCTTAACCCCTTTGTGACATAAGTTTGATGCTGGAGTTAAGTGGTATGGAAGCTTTATGTTAGGATTCAAGTCTACATCAGATATTCAAACGTGTAGATTTGTTTATTTTAATTTTTTGTATAAATGACATGACCTTTTTCTGTATTTACTGTTTTTATTATATTTACACATCACCAAGAAACCGCATGAAGGCTGCACCCATCTGTTCAAGCACACATGTAAAATTGATTTATGCCTCTAGAGTTTAAAATTCTAATGCATTATGCATAACTTAAAACCACGCTGCTACTGGGTCAAAGCAGAAAATAGTTTAGCGTCACGCGTATCGAACAGAATACACAAGTCGTATTCCCAGCAGCGCTAAATCATGACGATTAACAACGACCTCAGAGTATCTTTTGGTGTTGCTACAATGTTACTTCTGGAGTTCACGTGAATTTCTTTAGTAATAAAAAACAGAAGAGATAGCATTGAATGGACAGAACGCTCTTTATCCCTGAATATTTAATAAAACAACCTGGTAACCAGAAAACTGTTAGAAAGATGATGCAAGAATACAACCTGAAAAGGAAAATATGAATTGCCTGCTGCACCCCTCCTTTATTTCCCCTTCAAACCTCCCCTGGATAATACATGAAAGAGAACACACCCAAGCCAAGAACTGATCATGAAAAGCGATCCCACACCATTGCAACTGACCAAAATATGCCTCAAGCAGTTAGGGCAGGTTTGCCTAAGCACCTTTTTTCTTCTATATAATAGCACACTGCTTATTTACGTCATTAATCAAAGACACACACATACTGAGACCACCTTAAGTGACTGAATGAAGGCGGCTCATTACTGAATACATAATTATCTTCATCCAAGATATGTCTATTCTATTCTATTCCAGCCTGTTGTGCCGTTACGCTGGCATTCAGACTTGATTCAGTCATGATTTCCCTTCCCCCTCTCCCAGACAGACCCTTATTGTGGGGGAAGGGCTGTTTTAGCAGCAGTCAGCCAAGGGCCCTCCAGCGTAGCTGACAAGCATGTCTGTCTACAGTATGCGGATGTGTCTGTGTGTGTGCATGTGTGTGTGCGGGCATGTGCATCATACCACATGACATGGGTATTTTTTGATAACAAGGCAAGAGACTGTATACTTAACTCAAATATTAATGGTTTAATTTATTATTATCATTGTTATTATTATTATTAATTGTTGCTATTTCTCTTCTGTCAGATACTTTAACACAACAGACGATGCAGCTCGAAGCCCACAGCGACTGGTTTTATTGCATAACAGTTTATTTTATTAAATTACTGTAAGTGTTCCATGGTTATTAGTGTAACTGGTTTTGTGAAACTGTTATGTATGGTAAAAACACCAGCATGTTTAGGAGTTATCAGTTATTTTTATTGTCGTAATTAGATGCATCTTGATGCCCTTTTTCACTGTCTGACGTCTACTTTTAAATAAACGAGGAGTAGATGTATAAAAAACAAATCTGCATTGATTGTGGAAACAAAGTGAGCGTGTACAAGTGCATAAATCCATAGTGGATATCATGATACGACTGCTAACTATCTCCTTAATGAAATGCAGATATATGCATTTTATAGCAGCTTAATTAGTCGTGTTTTAAAACTAACCTTACACTGCAAATAAACAGTTATTTCAGCTGCCAGTTTTAGCACCCACTGCATACTTCATATCTTAATGTCCTCATGATTGTGAAGCAATAATATCTGTACTGTTTGGTATAATCTTGCAAATTTCTTAAGATTTCCAGCACTTCTGTGTGTCTGTGTGTGTGTTAAGCTCCTCTAAGCTGTATGTAGCCTGTTCAGTGTGCAGTCTCATGCCTGGCTCAGCTGACTCCTCAGTGGGAGATGTGCAGGCAGCAGTCAGGGCAGAGCAGAGTGGAGCAGAACAGGCTGATTGCTGGAGTCAGTGGCCCAGTAAAACCACAGCAGGGGGGGATAAGAGCTCTGCCGGAGGGGCAGAGAGAGGTATGACTGTATCTCTGTCTGTCTGTCTGTCTGTATATAATATATCCATCCTGAGCTAAACCCAAGGGGGTAGATGGTGTTGCTGTGGTGATGTGACTATATGACTACTTATCTGCTTTCTGTGATTTACCCCCCCCCTCCCAATTATTGATGTGCAAATACCATTTGTTATAGTCGCTGTTAATACACAGATTTCCGTGAGGAGTAGCTCCTTCCTTTTATTATTTATTTGTATTTGTATGGCATATAAATGAAGGACACAGTAGTGGTGTTGTCGGCTATCTTTAGTTTTTAAGTTTTTACCTAACTGGCTGTGTCTAGATGTTCCCAAAATGCATTCACTCACACACTTGTGGAAACCGGTGTACACAAAGAATGCCGCACACAAAAGCAGTATTGACTAGTACGCTGCTTTTTCAGGACCCAGGTCAGGTCCAATAGGCAGAGCCACAGAGGCTTTTTCTTCTGCCTGTGAACAGCAGTGTGGTTAATCACTGTCACTGCATGTATTTGCATTTGAATGTTTCCTGTTGTCCTGCGTGCTCCTTTACAGCCGTTACAAACGTTACAGCCGGGACAAAGAGCTGCACATAACTGGGAGAAGGGAGACGTGATTATGACTTCTTCCCTGCCCCTGCTCATCTCCCTCTTCCCCCTCCTTCCAGCACACCCACATGTAATATTACCAGCACCACCCTCACCGACTGCAGTACCAAAAGCAGCCTTCCTAATGAAAAAAAAGCCTGAAACTCTGAAACTCCTTTAATTTATTTTTTTATTTCTCACGACATCCATACAGATTTACATTTCCTATTGGAAGGAGTTATACAACAAAGAGTAACTGATGTTAAGGTAGTGGTTAAGTAAAATTTCAAGTTAAGTTATAAAAACTAGAAAGTTTGCTCATGTAAATGAACTTAATCAAATTAATTAATTAAATAAATGAATAAATATTTATGTATTTACAGGGTGCAAAGATGTCTAAATATTCTATTTACGCATGTTTTGGTGTATCACTGTTACTGTTCTCCAAACTCAAAATAAAGCTTTTGCATAAGATTTGACGTAGCAGTAGCACAGCGGATCCCCGTCATTACAAGTCTAGAGCTACTGATATACACACACCACTTCATTCTTTATTAAAAAAAATAAAAATAAAAATCATTTCCCCCCTTTTTTTGGTCTCTTTCTTTGTTCCCCTGCTACTGCTATCCAGACACAATGGTTGTCTCCACGCGGAGGATACAGGAAAGTTTTTGTCAGCCAGCCAAAAGACAAGAAGAATGGAGGAAAAAAGTATTTCGGAAGCAAAGATTTTCTAGTGTGACAGTTTTATGAGGGTTTCTTTTGGTTGCGACTTGAACGAAAGAGAGAGAGAGAGAGAGAGAGAGAGAGAGAGAGAGAGAGAGAGAGAGAGAGAGAGAGAGAGAATGCTCAGTGAAGAGCACCTTGCAAGCCAGTGCCACAAAGAGGCTTTAATGAATAAACAAACGCAAGAAGAAAAAAATTTGGGTAAAAAGAATAAATAGATATCCCACGACACAGACAGACATAATTAGCTGCTTTGTAAAAAAAAACTTTTGGGGAGTTAGTGTGTTTAAATAAAGTAAAATAGTAATAATAAGTATAATGATAGAACCCAACACCGTGATCTTTATCACTCGCACGGATCCACAGTGTACATTGTTTTGTGCATAGTTGTTTGACTTTGAGAGGGCGGGACTCTTTGGAGAGCGAAATGAACTAGGCGCGGCCAAAAAAGAGCCCCATCCATCTATCACACGTGTAGACAAAGGGGGACTCCACAACACAAAGCTAGATGTGCCCTCTCAAACTTTTTTTTTTCCTACAACCGACAGCAGCGCGCGCACAGGAAGCCGACTGCCCAGGTGAGTTGTCTCCAAGCGGCACACTGTCTTTGCTTTCAATCCTCGAGCGATTTTTTGGAATTTATTCCCAGTTAAAAGTTGCGGCTGTAGTTGGTGCGTCAGCGCTCAAACTTGAGCACAAAGCAGGAGGGAGAGGGAGAGAGAGCTAGAGAAATCGAGGCAGCAAGGAAGGAGAGAGAGAGAGGGAGCGAGAGGAGCGGTCCCCTGTTCCTTTGTCTGATGCGGGTCGCTTTGAGGAGAGAACTTGAGGGGGATGCTCACACACGCATCTCCATAACGCTCATTAACACTCAACTTGTGCTACTTAGAAGCAATTGTCAGGGAGCTTTCATGGAGTTGAGGCAGAGTTTGTGGGGTTGCTGTATTTTTTTGTCTCTCGAGGATGTTGCGACACAAGACAAAGCCTGTCAGAAGTTTGCGGAGGAAAGGACCTTTTTACGCACGCGAGAAAAATCACAGTTGGCTGATGGATAGTTTGTAAATACTTCTTTTTTCCTTCTTAGTGCAGTAGTTTTATGACTGTTGTGTTTACGTTCTTGCGAAGTTGTCTTTCTGCACTATGGGAATTCCGCGCAGTGCAATCAGGTGTAAAGTCTCCAAGAAACAAGAAACGGTAACACAGAATTAAACTTTTTTTTCGCACTAATGAGAAATGATGTTTATAGGCAACAAAAAAGATGCAATGACGTGAATCTAAAGCGAGCTCGTCTTGAAAATCTTTAAGAAACTTGTTAGAGTTTATTTGGAAATAGATCAACAGGTATAAGTCGCTGCAGCTTCTTTGTTAGGCTACTGTAAAGGCTCCTTTGTTCTCAGTCCATACAAAGAAAGCTAGCAGAAAGGAGCGCAGATCCACCAGGAAACAACTTTTTCTTTTCTTTTTCAAACTTGCAAAGTTAAATTTATGTGATATATATTTTTTAATTATGTTGTTTAATTCTAGTATTTCAAAGTGTTTGAATAGCTTTTATTTGCCTTGTTTTCTTTTAAAGAAGCAAATACCCGGGAAATGTCAATGTAAATACTTTTTATTGTTTATTGAGTTTTATTGTTAAGTTCCACCTTCATTTTTTATTATTTTTCCTCGTTATTTAAAAAAATAAAGTGGACACGATTTAAAAACAAACAAACTTTCTTTATGTTGTGAAGGTGTGGCCAAACAACTTGTGTGGATTTGAAGCATTCCACAGTGGAGTAGCTCTACCCTTAAACTTTGCATTATTCAGCAAAGGGGAGAATTCACACCTACAGGATTTACATGTGGTTTGAAACCAAATCAGTTTGTTATTCTATATAAAGAAATATATATATTTAAAAGTTTCTAAAAACTAATTTGACTCATACAGTTCATTCACACACTTTTACGCTGCTTATTCACTCCTAAAGTACGAGTTTAATATGATTTAGACTGGGATTCCATTTGAATGAGAAAAATGTGCTGTAGCTTTGACTGACTGCAATGCCTTTAACCTTTTTTCTTTTTTCTTTTTATTTGTCTGGGCACTGTCCTTAGGTGGGAATTTAAGCAATTTAACCAGTACAGTGCTTGCTTCTGATGGATTAAGAAAATAAAAAAGATGTGTAGAAAAAAAAACACACAGAAGATGTACAGATTCACCTATCAAGCCATTTTTAAGATGAAATGAAGGATTAAGAGACTGTTCACTTTTCTTCTGGATGAACATGAAGACTTATCTCATGAGGATTTAGACTTCAGCAGCAGCAGCGCCAGTCGGATTGTGTTTTAGGCACACTTGGAAATCTAAACCTCATGGAGATACTTTGAGGATTATAAAAGATGTGCATGTAGAATGCCACCATACAAGACGCGTCCTGGGCCAAAGTCCTTGGGATAGCAGGATATTGCTTTCCTGATCCTTCTCAGCCCCCAGAATGGGTAGGTAATATTACTCTTTAGTGGGAGATGGTATGTGGCACTTGTTCAACCACTTGTTTGCAGGGCTGGTACATGTGTGAAATCCCTAGCACATGCAGGGACACACACACACACACTATTTTCCAGCTACATTTGTCATCAGCTGTATTTTGTAAGGCGTTGTGTTGCCCCTGTACTGTAATCTGAGTTTATTTGTAATGCCATATATTATTTAGGCTTAAAGCTAAAATCAATATACAGTTGATAAAAGATTATTTTGAGGCAACCAGCTTGTCTTATCATGCCAGTCATTAGTCATTGCCCCTGAGAAACTAAGATAATTTTGGCATGGTTAAACAATGATGACTACCAATACTGTAAACTTGCAATTCTCGCAATGTCTTTTTGTATTCCACACTTGTTATGCACGGGGACATTTTTTTAATAACACAGTGAATAACCATGAAATGCCCAAAGCACCTTAATGAAGCTGGACGTTTAGTCCAAGTTTGTTGCACATGACCACTAGTCTGTATTGTAAAATAATGAGCTAAAAGTTCATCTGATGATGTGCAGTTTGTACAGTTCAGTAGTAGTAGAGTCCCTACCTCATGACATGTTTATATTTTAGTTTAGTTTTATCTGTGTATGGTCTCGGCATAGCACAGCAGCATCATTGTGTCATAGTCGGAGTGCATGTTTCATCTGATTTGACTTCAGTTATCTTTTATAAAGCCCAAGAACGCTTTTGGGCCAAATTTGAGTGTCCACGGTCTGATCAGTTTTAACACTGATAGTTAGTTTCACTTACGATTGCATGACAGTCGCATAATTTGCACGTACTGTGATCCACAGCATTCATCAGTTGCGAAATGTTCTGTAGAAAGAGAAATCTTTCTTCAAATGCTCAGTTCATTCAGGGGTCAGGCGAGAGCGAGACCATCCTACGATGGAGAAGGCAGTTTTGTATTTCGCCTAATGCTTTAGCAGCAACTAATTCAGACGAATCTCTTAGAGTCAGAAAAGAGTCACAAGCTATTCAACTGGCCTTCTTAACCTGCATTTGCATTCTACTATACAGGAGTGTGAGGGAGAGAGGAGAGTCACTCCTTTCTCTCTCTTTGCAGCCCCTTATCAATGATGTCATTGAGAGCCAATGAGAGCGTACAGTGGAACTTGTAAGCATCCAAGCTCCACCTTCCAGTCGCTTTGTGCATGGTAGCCCACATGGTCCTGCAGCATCACATTTTCACCATGCATTACTCTGCAGCAGAGAACGGGAGAGAGAGAGGCAGAGATACAGGGATGTGGCTCTTGGCTATGTGTTCTGATGTTAATCTACCGTGTCTGCTCAGAAATGAGTTGTTTATCATTTTAAACATGCAAAGAGCAATCAGATAACATTTTAAAAATGATTTGCCAAAAGCCTCTGAGATACTATTAAATAAGATTATAAAGAAGAATAAAATCCAGCCAAATAACATCGTTAATGTATACTAAATTATTGCAAGTAAGGCTAAAATGCAAAGAATCATTGGAGAAGATTACCTCGATAATATCCCTTAAATCAGTTCGAAATTTCAAATTAGTTACTAAAAGACATGCGGGTCCCTGACAATGCTTTTGTCGGCTTTAATCACATTACTCACTTTTTTCTTCTTGTAACCAGTGGAATTGACTGGAAGAGAAATATTTTACTTGCTTCCTGCTGGTGTTGTGCTAAAGACTCACGTCACTGTCTGGAAGTGAGTAGATCAGTTGGAATCAAGGTCAGTCGATAGTGTGACACACAGGTAGGGCAGATATAGGTCAGTGGCACAATATGGGTGGTGATGAGTCACAAACACACACAGACAGACATAGAGGGAGGGAGGAAGAGGGAGCATGGCAAATTGGACTCTGAGATATGGAAGCTTTATTTAACACAAATCATATCAACTTTGCAATGTAACATATAAATGAACAGGAAGTGCATATTAAGCTGCACTCATAACTCTGTAGCTCTTACATGTGACATAGTGAATTTGAGTTGTGCAGTTGCATCCAGTACTCAGATAATGAAATAGTGAGTAAAACAGACACATCAGGGTTATAATAAATAATCATTATGACATGCCCGGCACTTGGCTCTTAATAGAGATTGCACTGGGGTGCTTTTTCCCACAATACAGCATGCTCCACTCTGTGCATCTTAATTACATTGCTTATCAGTAATGCTGTTATCAAGTGCGGGGCAGTTTTCTTAGCATTTGCCATTCAGTGGACTCTTTATGAGAGGATACATTCTTGTATGCGGTCGCCCTAGTGGGAGCTGCAAATCTAAACCTAATCCACTGAGTTACACAGGATGACATTAACGCAGCAATCTGTGCCATCTCTCAGTTCTGAAGTCTCAATATCCATCTAAGCTGCTCATTAAAGTGGGGAATGGTTTAACACCCTCTTTTTCTATGCGCCATATGCACAACTAAATCTGTGTCACTATAATTGCTTATCCATCCTTGTTTGTTGTTACACTAAAATGCAGCTCATTCTCTGCCTGGAAGTGAAGTCTAATAAGAGCCACGCTTTGTACTGCAGAGTTGGAGCAATGTATTACCTTAGATTCTCATCCCGGAGATGCCAGCATTCTTACATCTACATTGTTTCTATCCATTTATAATGCACAGCATGTCTGTAAACCCGACTCATGCTATGCAAAGTGCATTAGATTAGACTACAACATTAGGCCCAGAGTAACTAATCACTACAATGAGCCTAATTCTCCTAGACATCGTGTGGTTGGGCCTCTTGAAAGCTATCAGGTTTATTTTTTACCGCTCGCTGTATGGAGGTTATGGGAAATGCAGCTGATAGTGGCTCACATAAAATCCCTATAATAAATTTATGTGTACGCTGCTGGTGTTTTCTGGTTTATTAAGCAACAAAATGACAACAAATGCCACTTAAGGCCCAATCTGTTTATGCAGCATGTGATGCCTACACACCGTCGACCCTTAACTGTGTATGTTAACACTGCGCTTTATCTAATTCATGCTATTTTTACAGTCTCATATGTACTGTCTGATGCTCTGATACTAGCGCTGACAGATGGCCAAACAAATTTTGAGTTGGACCTTCAGAGCGCAACAGCCGCTCAAACAGATTTTGTATGTGTTATGTTCTGCGCGCCTTAACAAAAGAACAGAATTGGTTGAGATGGGCTGGTTGTCAAAAACAGCAGCAGTTAATAATCTTTTCATTTTCTCCACCAGCCGATTTTGGGCTGATAGTCCTTTTTTGCATATCATTGAGTCATACAGTTGGTACAGTTCAGTGAATTACAGTGCAGTAAAACAGGCCCACCATTACTAATCATGACGACAGCCCTAATTCTCCGAGCTACAGGCATTCTGTGGTCATCCTGTTGCAAACTATCAGAGCTTAGTTTTACCACTCAGCGCCTGTAGCCGAGAGATAAGTTAACGTGCTCTGCTGGCATGCTAATACATACCAGCACTGGGGGACAGGAATAAATTATTTCTTTATGACTGCGCACAAGGCAGAGCATTTGAAGGGAGCGTAGGGAGAGATAGAGAGGAAACATAGGGAGATGAAGCAGAAAGAACAGACATGGGGTAAATGATGGGCAGAGAAGACAGGAGGGGAAAAAAGGAAATAGAGATCCAGACTGAGAGGGGAAAAAAGAGTTAGAAAGAGAGATAAAAAAGACAAGGATAATGCAGATAGCAAGCATCATTGTGCTCTTTATACCAGCCTTTCTTCAGTTTATAGTAATTCTGTCACCATGCCTGTGGTGAGAGAAGCAGCCATAAGTTAAGCTATGAGCTCATTATCAACAAAGGGTTTGTTTTGGGAAATAATAATGGCAGAGAAAGTTTTATTGCTCTGACCAGGAAACAACAGCCTGCATCCACAAACGTGCGACCTTTTCACCGGTTTTGCCCTACTTTTAAACGCTCAAGTCACGCAACGACAAATGGGTGTCAGATAACATTAAAGTGAGTGAAATCTCACTAAAATACACCTGGATTGGTTTCAGTGAAAATAGCTTTGATTCAAATGGCAATTTAAGCTCTCTGAAACATTAAATAAAAGAGTACTAACATTTAGCTAAATTATTTTTGAGTCTGCGTGCTGATGTCTTGTGTCGTGCCACGTTGTGTGCTTACACTTGGCAGCCGCTGTACGTTTGCACTCTGAGATTTCAGTAGAGGCAAAACCACACCACAAACAGTAGCATGACGAGTCAGTCAATACATAAAGGTAAGCGCCAAATCAAAATTCACCGGATGATAGCTCGCACGAGGTGTTGCACAGCAGGTCTGACTGTCTCTGAAGATATTGCTTTCCAACCCTCTTTCATCTATGCCCAGGTATAGATATGGGGGACACAATTTCCAATAACAGCCTTTAGCTGTCTGGTGGTCTGTCTATTATGGATCAACTTATTACCTCCATAAATGCAGAGCGTGTTGCTGTCTGGGAATGGGCTGATAATCCCTCTAAAGACTGGGGTTTTATCAAAGCTAAATCTGCTACACACACACGCACAGACACGGACAGGCATGCCCCACATGAGTACACATAGACACACACATACACACACACATGACTTGCCTGGTATAAGCATAGACATATGTGTGAGGACTAGGATTTTATCACAGACAAATCTGTGATTGTCTGGTAGTTAAAAGATTATAAAGCAGTGATTTTATAGACACAAACACACACGTGTCATTAGCACATGAACACTGGCTTCCTTGCTACAGGCACAGTGTAGTTAAGTGATATCATTGCTGCTATTCTTCAATACTGTGATTCGCTTTGGATTATTAATCTGATAAGGGCTCAGTAAATCATTTCACTGACAGCTTTTATTATATCCACTTACTTCTGTTTTCTTTTTACCCCCGCTTTAATATAAAGTCCCATTCCCAGCCATGCCCGGCTTTTTTCAGTTTCCTACGATTGCAGAGGTAATGTGTGTAACGTCACCATCAACACTGCAAAGCCCATTT